GAAACTTTATCAATAACATAAACATTCAACACATATTTCTATGTTATATATATTATATACTGTATTCTTATAGTAAAGAAAACTATAAGAAAATTGTAAGGAAGAGAAAATATATTTGTTATTCATTAAGTGGAAGTGAATCATTTTAATGCCTTTGTCTTCATCATTTTCACACTAAGTAGGCTGAATAGGATGAGGAAGAGGTGGAGGCATTGGTCTTGCTGTCTCAGGAGTGGCAGAGGTGGAAGAAAATTCACACATAAGTAGATCAGCTCAGTTCAAGCCTATGTTGTTCAAGGGTCAATTGCATATTTATTTTTGAATCCGTATCTTCTACTATTTTCATTTCTGGCTTATTCTAACTAAAGCTATTTCCAGTTATAGTTACAGTATAAAAGTAGATGAATATAATGTATTTCAACATGTAGAGCTTGTATAAACCAATGTAAAACAGTGAACAGCATCAAGAAAACATTTTTCAAATGTAATATGCATCATTATGTATATATGTGTAAAAGTGCAAGAATTATGGAGTGAATTTTGAACATTCATAGGATAATTTCAAATCAGACATTTCTTAAGCTGACTGTCCAAAATAAAAATATGCATGTTCTTCACATGTACCCTAGAACCTAAAGTGCAGTTAAAAAAAAATACACACACACACACACACACACACACACACACACACACAATATGTACTCAGCTCATGAATCCTGACCTTACTCTGGCTATTATTTCCAATGTATCATATTACTTATTCATCATGAATTTTTAAAGATCTCTGATGTTACACTTTATAACATTCCTGATAGTTCAATATATATTCATTACAATCTGCATTTGTTTATGAATTTGTTACATAACATTTTAAAAACAAAACTGAGAAAAGTATTTGACAAAAAGTATCTTGTAAGGAAAGTAAAATTGCAACTTAAGACCTCAATACAATTCAATGTTATTTTCTGTTGTGATGAAAGAGATTTCCATAATAAGAATGAGATTCTACATTGCTTCTTTTATATGCTTACGTATATATGTTCATGAATTGGTTTGGTTTTTTCTTTCCTCTAAAAGTTTTCTTCCTTGGCTTATATAACAAAGAATTACTTTATAGAATAAGTTGTAGGGTTTTTGCAAGATTTTCCAATTTTTTGTCTTATGAAGGAATTGGAATCATTTGTGGCTTGAATGTTTGCTTTAGCTGACCTTAAAAACAATATGGGTCAGTGCTTTTTGAGAAAATAATGAAAGCTTCAACATTGCTAATGTTGATAAGAATTCAGTTTTCTTGTCTATTCATTATTTGGTGTTGTTATCTTTTTAATGAAATATTTTGTTTAAGTTGTCTATTAAATGCAATGTTGTTTTAAAATAACATCTAATTATCTCTTTAAGTCCTATAATATTTATACTTTTGATCTAGCCATAATTTTAATATTGCTCATATTTACTATTTCTCCTTTCTTTCGAAGAACGTTGCCAAAGAACTTTTAAGTTTATTAGTGTATTTAGATAATCAACGTTTGGCCAGTTTAAACTTTTTGTTTGATGTTATTTTCTATCTTACTAATCTTTGCTTTTATCATTAAAATCTCCTGTACACACTATTTGGTTAATGTTATTGTTCTTTTATAAACTTTTAAATTTTAAATCTTGTACTTTTTAATTTTCAGGGTTTATTTTTTCCAATATAAGACTTTAGTGTAATAAATTATAATAAGTACCATTTTAGTGTATTCTATAAATTTTGATATATATTTCCGTTAAAACTGAACATTTGAAGATTTCATTTTTATCTTATTTTTGAATCATTAGTCATACTTTTTTCCTAATTTCTAACCTCATTTGAAAACATTGCCATTGTTTTAATTTAATCACTCTAATTTAAAGCCAAATAATGTGGTATATATGGCCTAATCTATGGAAATTTATTTACCCTCTGGTTATGGTCTGTTTTTATCCATATGAACTAGAAAATTATATGGATTCTATAATAACTCAGTTCAGAGTTTTATATATAAATGGTCCCTGACTTATGAAACTTAAAAAAGTTCAAGTTTACATTTTTTGACTTAATGGTGGTGCAAAAGTAACACTATTAATATGATTTAGTAGAAACCATACCCTGAGTGTGTATCCAACCATTCTGCTTTTAACTTTCAGTACAGTTTTGAATAAAGTGCATGAAATATTCAAAACTTTATTGTAAGATAGGCTTTGTATTAGATAATTTTTGCCTTACCATGAGCAAAGTATTCTGAGCATTTAAGGTGGTCTGGGCTAAACTTTGATGTTTGGTAGCTTAGATGTATTAAATGCATTTTGAATTAGGATATTTTCAAATGTAACCCCATTGTAAGCCAAGGAACAACTGTGTGTTCATTGAATCAAGCTTTATACTTGTTAAAACATTCTATATGCTTACTGGATACTTTTCCTTCTGTTCTACCCATTCCCGAATTACATGTAGAAAATCTTGAACTATGATGGGGGAGTTTGTCTATGTTTCTTTATAGTGATGGCAATTTTTCCTTAATGTTTAAAATCGAGGTACACATAAGTTTTGAATTGTTATATTCTTCTAGAGAATCGATTGTTTAATAACATGGAAATGATCTTCCTTATTCCAGTAGTACATTTTTGTTTTAAATTCTTTTCCGTGTCTGATATAAATAAAGCAAATCAACTCTCTTTGTTTGATTTTGTTTCTGGTTTTCATAATTTTTTCTTCCATACTTTGAGTTCTTCTGATTTAGCAGGGTCTCTTTATGTGTATTTTGCTGCTTTGATCTTTCATCTCTCTTAATAGTCTTTGTTTTTAATTGGAAATTACAGTTTATTTATAGTTATTGGAATTACTGATTTTTAAAAATTATTCTTTTTATTTTGTCAATATTTTGGAATAATTATAATTTGTTGCATATATTTTCCACGTTTGCTATAAATTGCCTTTAACTTTTTACCTGCAGCTTTAATTAATAAGTATCTAAATTTTATCAGTATTTTTGTTTCTACTCCAAATGATTCAAGGATCTTAAGAATACTTTATCTGTGAATCGGTTTTAATGATTGTTATCCAATACCTTAACTCTATCTTTTACTAAAACATTTGTATCTACTTTTTAAAAGACAAAAATCAGCCCATTTAAATGTAATTTATTCTTGCACTTTTTATGTTTTAAATTATTTTCATCATAATATTCTTTAGCTATAATGTAGTTTTTAGAAATTATCACAATTTTTACTTTATAAAGTTGTCTTTGTTTTTTTTTGCTTTTGGTCTTCCTTTTTAAAAGCTGTTTATTGTGCATCAATAACTCTAGGTTGTACTGTGAGATTATTCAATAATTTTAGGCTTTTAATTTTCTTGTTTAGGAGAAACCAGTTTAGTTGTGTAGCCTATATTACTTCTTCGGATAGATTTAGGATTTTTCCTGTTTTTTTTTTTTTTTTAAATTTTTGCTTTGATTTGTCTAAGTATGTATTTATTTAGGCTTCTTGAATTAAAAAATTTATATCTTTCATCACTTTAAAAAATTATCCCTTATTATCATCCCTTAACATTTAGTTTCTCCCTCATTCTGTCTTAATTTTGCTTCTAGAAATATAGAAATTTCTCAATATATCCTTAAGTGTCTTAACACCTATTTTATATTTATTCTTTTTCTCTCTGAAATGTAGTCTTTGTATTTTCTTCAGTTCTACCTTCTGAATGGCTAATTACATCTTCATCTGTGGCTAATCTCCTTTTTAAAATGTCCATTTAATTTTCTGTTAATTATTCTACTTTTCAATTGCTAGAAGTTCCCTTTGGTTCTTTGCTCAGTTATCTTGATTATTTTATGATCTCTCATTCCTGGAACATCATGGCTACCTTTAATTTAAATCTATTAATCATAGACATACATATTTTATATACAGTAGTCCAAGTATTTAACATTTCTGCAGATTTTATTATGCTATTTGTTCTTTCTTGTGGTTTTCATGCAGTGTGCCCTGTTCCATTCTGTGTTTGGTGACTTTTGATTATGAATACATATTCTTTAGAACTTTATCCATAAATTTTATTGGTAAATACATTGCCCTAGAAAGGATATGATTTGTAAGCACTACTAACTTGGGAATATTTAGTATAAATTATTGGCTATTATTAGGAACAATTAGTAGAGAATATTTAGTATTAATTATTGGCTATTTTTCAGAAAAATTCTGATAATGAGAACTTGAGAACCATACCAATAAGAGGGCCTGTTGATCATTATAAATTTTCTGGAATTCTTTTTTTCTTCTCCACCCACCATAAAGATTAAGAAAAGAGCATTTCTTTCTGTAGATTTTGTCCCTGTGTGTTTTTAATGTTCACCCATGCACTGGAAAATAAATTGTAATAAAAATATTTAATAAATAATCAAAATCAGTCTGGTGTGAATACTGGATAGTTAGGCTGGATATTGGCCATCGCTACTGGCATAGCTGTATCAGTGTGTACTGTTTAAAAACATTCCTGCAATGGTGCTGAAATCGTCTGGGGTTCCGTTTTTCCAGAGGTCTCATCTCCAACCTCTCACCTCAGATAAGCCCTGTTTCCCGGGTCCTCTTTCTCTGCCTGCATGCAGCCTTCAAATGAGGCTGAAAGTTACCAGGTTTCGGCAGATACTCTTTCTTTCCAACTGTCATTTTTAGGTTCAGGAGATACATATGCAGGTTTATATGGATGAATTGTGTGTCGCTGAGGTTTGTTGTACAAATGATGCTGTTATCCAGGTCGTGAGCCAAAAACCGTATTGAAAAACATAGTGTTTCAGCCCTCATTTGCCTCTTATCTTCCCTGTTGTCATAATCCCCAGTGTCTATTGTTTCTATCTCTGTGCCTGTGCGTATTCGATGTTTAGCTGCTCCCACTTATAAGCAAGAACATTTGGTATTTGGTTTTCTATTCCTGTGTTAATTAAGATAATGGCTTCTTGAAATGAATGCCAGATTTAATGCTTACTTACCACTAGATGCACACTTTTCAAATCACACTTTTGGCCTTTGACATTTTTCCTTGTTTTAGTTCAAGCTCTGTAATGCATTTAGAAAAATTTCTTAAAATGTTATCAAGAAATATTAGTTGTTTTAGAGTAGAAAGTTTAGCCCATTCATCTTTTAAAAATTACATATGTGCTTGAAAGTAATTTGGGCTCTCTGTTGGATCCAGAGTTCTATACTCTTAGCACTTTACACATTTTTTTTTTTTTTGCCTTGCTTGGCTGAGAGCTATTTTGAGGATAATGGTTTTTATAGTAAAATACATTATAATTTCAGTAGCTAGAGTAAAATAGTAATGCTATAATTGCCCCTCCCCTTCTTTGTCTCTTAAAATTAAGTAAGGGAAAATTTGGAGTGCCAAATTCTTTACACAGAATGAATGGACCAACTTTACTTCATAGAGCCTGAAGTCAAAATTAGTTTTACTGTATCCCTTGCATCATGATGGAGGAGACATTTTGTTTGCATTTATCCGGCCATATTCCGATGAAAAATAGCCTTTCTTTCTTGAAACGAAAAGAGAAAGATATTATTAGAGTTTGCCAGAAGCCACTTACGAACAAATCGAGAATTTTTATAACTAAAGATTTTATGTTATGATATTTTGAAATGTTTAAAATCTAAGCTTTTTAACCTTTGTAATTTGTTAACATGGGTTTAATGTTGTTAGAGACAGGTATATTTTTTAAATTAGCACCAGAGAACTATATACAATGTTATTTTCTTTCTTAATATTATACATTTCAAAAAATAAAATTTATTCAAGTCAGATTCTATTTCCAGCATTATGGTAATAATGATGTAGTAATTTCAATTATAAATACTTAAATAATGAACATACTTTATATTTAACAAATTTTATATTTAACTGTGAAAATGTGATACAGGACTCACTTTTAATATTATACAAGCTGTCTCCCTGAAGCGACATGTTAAGAAAACATCTTATCAGTTATTGGTCAAGATAATTTTTCAGATGGATTCACAGATGTGTCAAGGTTAAAACAGTAATGAATAAATAACAAAGAAACAAAAAGTTTAATAAGAAAAGTGAAATACATTGTTGGGAGTGGTTGACTGATTAATTTCCGTTAAATGTTCAACTCACAAACAAAGCTCTTTTTAATGACTTCTAAAGGCTTTATTGTCAGGAGAAAGAATGTCAAGTGTATTTATTTTATAATCTTCCATAATTCATATATGTAACATAAATTTATTCAATATTTTCAGTGTAATATCTGAAAATTATCTAAATGGCTCCACAGCTCACTTCAAAAGACAGAATCATGATCAGATTTTTTTGCAAAGAGAAACCAGGATGCTACAAAAATCAAGGTTATGCTGCATGTCATTTTTTTGCTCTGGGTTTTACCAGTGGCACTAATGAGAGAATTGAAATAAATGTACAGATGGGTTTCTAGAAACACTAGTAAATATACCCAAGGAGCAATGTAAATATCTTCTTGGAATATTACATTTTATCTATTATTTATTGTTAAAACAGAAATAGCAAAGTAGGACCTCCAGATTAGATTAAAGCATTTGAAATTTAACTTAAGAAAAGTTATAAAATGACTACAAATTTATGTCATCGGGAGGATAAAGTGTAAGTGAATAAAGTGAGAATTTTCCAGCACTGTAATTTCAACTAAATGGTCAGTGGAGATTATGTAATCAAGAATCCAACAAGGAACTAGGCAATTATGCAGCTAATATTATATCTAAGACATCCCCTTAAAAGCCTGGTACCAGATTTGGAATCTGAGAGGACATAAAATATTTGAGAAAAATAATCAAAAATTATATTCAAACAAATTACATTTAATTCACAATATCTTATAATTCATAAGTCATTCCCAGTTTAAGAAAGAACAGCTCCACATGTTCCAAATGCTTCTTAAGACTCCAAACAACCTTCTCTCAAAGTTCAGGGATCCCAAGATTTATCTTGATTCAGAAAAGTTGTACTGAAAATCCAGGTTTTACGTAGTGCAGACTGTTATTTAAGCAATAATATGTTTCCTGGCCATAATTGTTTGGTAATAAACAGTGATCAAGTGAAAGCCATATTTCATGCCTTCGTTCTGTTGAAATAATGAGGAGAGTAACTACTTCTACCACATTTCATGTCTTCATAATGTTAAGGTACTTCTGTTTCTGAGCAATAAAGACGTGAATTACCCATGAAAATCTGCATTCATACCATTGGTGTCAGCTGTGGATTGCATACCTGGTTTATTTCTGACATACCAAAGAGCCTTATGAAAGGTGGTTCCACAGTGCAGATTTAGAGACTAATGGGGGTCTGCTGGATGTATAGTCCTTCTTGGGGACGCTCAGAATAGGTTACCAAAATTATTTTGTTTGACTCCCCTGAGGCCCACAGGCCAATGGTCAGTGTGTTAGGCTGCCTCAGCCTTAGACTCAGCTAATGTCTATAGAACAATTATTTTCCAGGCATTTCCTAACAACGTATCTGGGTGAGAATATCAGTTTGGCAGTTAAACTTCCACAGCATGAAAATTCAGCCTTCCTCTCATAGCTAAAGCATATGCTTCTCACTTTACATAGTGGCTCAGAGTGTCTACATTAGGAGCACATTTAAAAATGCAGTCGTGAATTTCATGATACCAAGTTCCCATCAAATAAAGGTGTTTAATAATGGAATAAATTTAATATTTGAGAGATGGTGTAATGGGCATTTATCCATCCATTTCTCTATATTAAAATAAACACATTTTGTCTGTATATTAAATTAGATTGCCAGCAAAAGTACACATGCAAAGTTGTCACAATTCCTACCTGTAGAAGTATCTTCATATCTGCTATGCTTTCAACATGTATAGAAATTCTCTGTTTTAAAATGTCAATTTGAATAACATTCTCTTCTTAACAAAGATACAATGAAATAATTTTTTACCACTGAGGACCCCAGAAATATAATTCTCCACAAATTAAATTGAATGAAATTAAAACTATATAAGATACTTTGTTTTCATTTTTTAACTTTAGTTAGCAGCATATTTAAATCAAATCTAGAGGCAAATTGTAAAAATTAGCAAATCTCTTAGGTCTGGTAATATGTATTTTTTCTATTCTGATCAGATAGTTTCTATTTTATTTTATTGTTATCTCTTGTTATACTACTTTTAAACTCTGTATCATTATTCAGTTAGTTTAGAACTCTGTAGAACATAAGAAGAATAATCACGCTTTTCTTCCTGAGCACAGACATATTTATGGAAACAAAAGAATAGTATATTTGATGTTGGGGATGAATTAGAAATTCCATGGACTATGATGATCATAACTAGAAGTCCTATGACATTCTGATTGAAATGTTTGATGTAATAAGTCTTCATTCTCCAGTGATGTCATTGACGTTAGTTTCCTTATGACTCAGAGAAAATCTAAGCAAGAGGTAAATTTGTCTGCAATGTGGCTTTGATGAATATTTTCACACAGCATGGATGGCAGGGTGATGAGCCAGTCAGGTGGGACTGCATCTTAACACTTCATAAAGGCAGAGGCCTCTGGAAGATGCTGGGCAAACAGTCAAGAATCTGGAGTTTAATGCCAGAAAAAAGGAGTCGGAATAGAATTTAACCCTTTAATAAGGCAAGACCATGTTGAGTTAACTCATTTTTTTTTTTTTTTTTGAGATAGAGTCTCCCACTGTTGCCTGGGCTGGAGTGGAATGGCTCAGTCTTGGCTCACAGCAACCTCTGCCTCCCAGGTTCACATAATTCTCCTGCCTCAGCCTCCCGAGTAACTGGGATTACAGGTGCATACCACTACACCTGGCTAAATTTTTCTATTTTTAGTAGAGACAGCGTTTCACTATGTTGGCCAGATTGGTCTTGAACTCCTGACCTCATAATCTGCCCATCTTGGCATCCCAAGATGCTGGGATTACAGGTATGTGCCATTGTGCCTTGCCAGCTCATTTTGCTTTCAAGTCTTAATGTATTCTTTTTCTCAATGTTTTACTGCATTAAGAAGATAAAATAACTGCATAGTAAAATTATTTAAACCATCTCATCAAATGAACATGTGTATTTTTTTCTTTCTATCTCTCTCCCTCCTTCTCCTTGGCCTTTTTTCCCTCCTTTTAAAAATTCTCTCCTTTTTTCTCTCTCTCCCTTTTCTTTCTTCCCCTTCTTTCATCTTACTCTTCCTCTTATTTCTTTACATTCTTTGTTTTCTTTCTTCCTTATACATTATATGTCATAAGTAAAATCCACTTTAGAAGTGTTTTATTTTTTGGAGTTTAAGAATCAGGAACTTTGATATGGTATACTTTAAATTTAAATTTTCTATCAAAAATGCAGCTGAGGCTGGGCGCGGTGGCTCACGCCTGCAATCCCAACACTTTGGGAGGCCAAGGTGGGTGGATCACGAGGTCAAGAGATCAAGACCATTCTGGCCAACAATGTGAAACCCCATCTCTACTAAAAACATACAAAAGTAGCTGGACGTGGTGGTGTGCAACTGTAGTCCCAGCTACTCTGGAGGCTGAGGCAGGAGAATTACTTGAACCCGGGAGGCGGAGGTTGCAGTGAGCCGAGATGGCATCACTGCACTCCAGCCTGGCACCTGGCAACAGAACAAGACTGTCTCAAAAAAAAAAAAAAAGTTGATACTGAAATACTATCTATTTAGTGTGTCCATAGGACTGTGATATTCTAGAAATGTCAGAAAAGACTTTTGATCTTCAGTTCTCCCGTAAAATCAAAGTGTCTGCTCAGTTTGCCTGGCAAGGTTAGGAAATCAGGCCAGTGAAATACAATTTCATTACAATATTTGTTAGAACAAAGAGGAGAAACAGCACATCTGAGATGCTTATATGATAAATGTGCCTGTTTCATAGGGATGATACTTACCTAGATCCAAAAATCTTTACAAAATCAAAGAATATGAGCCTGTAACTTTGATGGTTCAATACGTATTTACCTATCAACATAATTTAGTTTAATAACCTAGATTAGGTATAGCAATTTGTGTAAGTGAAACATGATGACAAAATTTTTCTATGACCTTTTATTATTTTTTATGCTTATTTTCTATAAAATTGCCCAAATTTTGAATAATAAATTAGTGAAAGGATCTGCATATATTATTTAAAAAGCTATTTGCACTAATATCTATGTTCCTGAAAAAATGAATATTTTTACTGGAATCAAAGTTTGCATTTAATGACCTGTGTTCTTCTTAGGGATTGTCCAATACATTAATCATGATTTATCTTTTTCCTTTTGTGAATTCATTTACATTCTTCAGATAATTAACTTTAAGGCCCACTGAGATAATGTGTACTTCAGCTATCTGCTTACAAATCATACCCTTGCTGTTCAGCAGTGTAAAAAATATTATCTCTGCCCTGTTGTAATTATTCTACCCATAAAATGTGTCCAAAATAGGTAGGCTTCCTTTTATTCATTTTTTTTCTAAATTTTTAAGGTATCCCTTGTTAGTAGACCTTAAGTTCCCTCTCTGGAGCTCATAGAAAATAAGGAACATGAAATTGGTTTGTCTATTCTTTTTCTGTCCACCTGTTAACAGCAATAAAAAAGTGAAGCCAAATCACACCCTGGAAATTGGAAGTATTGTAGTGTCCAAGGGACTCAAACCTTGCCACACCTGGATCTCGGATAGGATGCTTCTTGAAGGATTCATTAGATTGGTGCAAAAATTTTTTGTTTTGCCATTACTCTTAATGTCTTTTCAACCCACCCAGGCAAGCTAGTAAGTCTCAGGAATTGCTGCTCATCTATTTACAGGCAATGCATCTATCTTCTTGAGAAGGAATAAGTAGCCTTTAAGAAGCATCTTGTTGTAAATGACTCTTTCTGTTAGATCAACTCCTGGACATTTTGATTCTTAGTACATAAAATAAAGGAAATAACTGTTAGCATGTAACTGTCTTTTCCTTTATCCAGGACTTCCATGCTGTGAATACAATAAAATATTAAGAAGTTACAATATTAAGAAATTGAAGCCATAAGAAATGCTATGTGAATTAGAATAATATTCTACTCAGAAGAGAACTTTGTCTTTGACAGTGATAGTCAGAGACCATATTAAGATAGTTTGTGGGTATACGTTTGCATTAAAAAAGAAAATTGACTTTTTTTTTTTTTTTTGAGATGGAGTTTCGCTCTGGTTACCCAGGCTGGAGTGCAATGGCGTGATCTTGGCTCACCGCAACCTCCACCTCCTGGGTTCAGGCAATTCTCCCGCCTCAGCCTCCTGAGTAGCTGGGATTACAGGCACTCGCCACCATGCCCAGTTAATTTTTTGTATTTTTAGTAGAGATGGGGTTTCACCATGTTGATCAGGATGGTCTCGATCTCTTGAACTCGTGATCCACCTGCCTCGGCCTCCCAAAGTGCTGGGATTACAGGTGTGAGTCACCAGAAAATTGTCTTTTAAATTTACTGCAGTAATGAAAGTGTCCTGGTTTGGTGCAGTGGCTCATACCTATAATCCCACCAAGGCTGAGGCAAGTGGGTCACTTAAGCTCAGGACTTTGAGACCAGCCTGGCCAATACAAAGAAACTCCGTCTATACTAAAAATACAAAAATTAGCCAGGCATCATGGCCCACACCTGTAATCCCAGCTACTTGGGAGGCTGAGGAACGAGAATTGTTTGAACCCACAAGGCAGAGGTTGGAGTAAGCTGAGATCGCACTGGTACACTCCAGCCTGGTTAGTACAGTAAGGCCCTGTCTCAAAAAAACAAACAAGGAAAAAGTAAATTCCTAGATAAAGTCATACAGGGACATACTTAAACATATAACAGTGATAATAACTAACAAATTACATGTTTAACATATTGTGTTTTTAGCCTCAAATTCAATTTACTATGTTGAAAAATATTTGGAGATTTATTTAATTTCTATCTTTCTGAAATTTATTTTCATAGAAAGTGAATGCTAAATATCACTAACAAACACTACTGACCATGAATGCTGGTTTTCCATTTTTAAAAAATCTGGAAATATATGGATAAGCCTTTGTTTGATGTAAATAGGAAGGCATGCTTTTTTGGTACTTATTCAAGATTATTTAAGTTATTAAAGAATACTATGATATATGAAACACATTAATGGATTTTGCTTTTAACAAAGCTAATTTTCTGTAATAGACTTGTAGTTGACATTTGAATTGTTACTAGGTGCTCTCATCTCTAGTGTCAGGTAGGAAAACATTTTCTTCTACCTTCTTGAGTTAATTTGCTGCAGGTCTACAAAGTAATTGACAAAAGATAGATTAACAGGAGTAAAAAGGTTCATTTCTATACAGGAACTAACAGAAGATCTAACTAGTTTACTAAATGCTTAATGTTAGAGGCTTATATTCATAGTTTAGTAGGAGAAAGAAAAGAAATGATAACACTGTTCTGGGAACAAGAAACAAGTTTTCTTAAAGAAAAATTAACGAATTTTTAGGCAAACAAATGGGAGACAAAAAATTGTGATATTCTTTTATGCAGGTGTGAGTGGTTTTACTGTGTTCATCATGGCCATGAAGCTTCCCCTGAGAGGGGATTTAGGGCAGGTTTATCTTGGCCTCTCTCATTGGAGTACTTTATGGCAGCCTCATTTTCCAGAAGTTGCTGCTTTTTGTCAGATAATGGAAGCCCTGAGAAGCCTTCTTTCTGTATTTGTTTAATCTCAAATCTCATCAGTTCAAAATAATCTTCATACCAACTCTGAGATTCTCAATGGATCCCTATGCTTGAATGTCTCTAATTTCATTTTAACTGTGCTTGTAGCAAAATCGCCAGCTGTACTGATGATTATAAAATAAAATTTAAAAACAGGAATTTCAAAAATATGCAACAGCCTGTAAGCATATGGCAGAGAATGAGCTTTTGACTAAACAGCAACAATTGTTCTCTTGTGATGTAATTTCCCATGCAACTTTATGTTTCCAATGGACTTAAAATTGTTCCTTGCCTTTGAATTCCTTCCCTTGTGCAGTAAAGTAGAGAAAAAATCTTGAAATGATTTTTAATTAATTGAACAGATAGGGGCACCATGAATATATGTGTCCTGGGATTTTTATACATTTTGTAACTAGATGAAAAATCTCTATAAAAAGCAAATACTATGGGAACCATTTCAGTTCAATTAACTGCTACCATCTCTACACTGTCTCTGCACATCTAACTTCTGTTAACTATTTCCAGAGAGGCTCATTTCTTATCCTCTGAATATTAAGGAAGCTAAATTTATGTATTTTTAGTAAAATACATGCACTGAGTGGAAAAATGTTCCATGTTATTAGAAATATTGAAATAGGTCATAGCATTCATTCCATTGGGTCAAAGCAGAATAAAGAGGCCTACATGGGCCAGAGTCTTCTGAAAGCCAGTGCTGTTTTGCTGATGAGAGCGGAAGAACCAAATCTGGACTCTGAAGTTTTTGGGCAATTTGACTTGAGCTCATAGTTTTCTTTTCCTGTCAGGAGATGACTTTGCAAAGACAAATTTAAAAATTTCAGTTAGGAAAAGATATGTTATCTCCTTTTTAAAAAATATTCAAATATATGTGCAAAATGAAGGCAAAATCTGATGTGTAGGAGCTCAATAGTCAGTTATAAAATTAATGCAATCTCCTATAAACTGATGAGAAAAATGTCTTCTGTGTTTAAATTGAAAATACATAAATCCATGGAAGATAATTCTCCTAAGAAATGTTCTTTCATTTCCCAGGACTTTTGGAACTAAGTCTTTACTTCCTATTATGGTAACTTTTGTTTCTTGTTCTCCATCTGTAAAATGTACAGGTTGTATTGAATTGTTATTTTATCTTGAATAAAAGCAAAACTGCTCTGAAAGATTAGAATTATATCTTAGATCACTTTATATCCCTTGGGTCTAGTGGAATACCCCAAACTATTTCATTTGTAAGTATTTTTGTATTCATGATTCTGAAGGTGAAGTTCTAAACACTGAGAATCTAGGAATATAGTTTAGGATTAGGTAGCTCATGTTCACTTGAATCACTATTTTCTCAATATTTATTTAGAAAAAATAACTTTTTTTTCTGAAAACACATCTGAGTGCATGATGTTTTTAGTTTGAAAGCACTGGTACTGAAAGCCTATCTTTAATCCTTCAGTATCAAATATACTTTATAAGACATGGTTAGCACCAGAATAAGTGCCTATACCTATTACACACACACACACACACACACAGGACAGTTGTATACAGTCATTTTCTACTTGTGGTATGTCTCTAGCTGCTACTGCATCATCTTATACACAGCTGGTTCCCTTCCCCAACGTCTGAAGCTGACTAAGGGATATTAGAAATAAAGCAGCCAAAGCAGGGATTAAGCATCATTTGGCTTGGCTTCAAGTCCCATCAACATTTGATGATAAGGAAAATAAAATCAAGGGTATACACATAAATAAAAAGTGATTTGAATGTTCTTAAACCACCAGAAATATTGCATTATTCTGTAGCATTACATAAAGTATGTTTTCACAGATTGCTATTGTTTGGTGTGTAAAAATCATACAAATTGCTGAATACCATTTCCCTTTCATTTTCTAATCTAGTCTTCCAGTTGTTCACACCATCCCTTACATTTCTAAAGTCTCTCATTAATGAAAAAATTTGGAGGATATAAGGGTGAACTTTTACTAACTTGTCACAAAATCTGTGGAAAAAACACAAAGTTGTCATCATAGCAGCTGTTCAATTTGTTGACTGTTACTAACTTCACATCTGGAAAATGATGTCAGGGACTTGTGCAGTTCCATTGCAAGCAAATTCTGGCTGCTACTATTTATATTCTGAGCATCCTGAGTGCTGATTGGAGTTGTTTTCCTAGGAGAGCAAATGCCCACTGGGTAGCTTCTTTCTTTCTTTTTTTTTTAAATGGGGATTTAAATGGGGATTTAATGTTATCATAGATGATAACATTAGCTATATAATTAGATGACATTAATTGAATATTAACTGAGCATTTATATGATAAAAACATATGCTATTTTATCTTTTCAACGTTATAGATAGGGGTCATTGCTCTCTCCATTTTCTTTTCTTTTTTTTTTGAGACAGAGTTTCCCTCTTGTGACCCAGGCTGGAGTGCAATGGCACGATCTCGGCTCACTGCAGTCTACACCTCCTGGGTTCAGGCAATTCTCTTGCCCTAGCCTCCCGAGCAGCTGGGATTACAGGCATGCACCACCATGCCCAGCTAATTTTTTGTATCTTTAGTAGAGACGGGGTTTCACCATGTTGACCAGGAAGGTCTCGATCTCTTGACCTCATGATCCACCCACCTCAGCCTCCCAAAGTGCTGGGATTACAGGCTTGAGCCACCGCGCCCGGCAGTTCTCTCCATTTTCTAATGAAGATGTTGCCTGAGATCACACAAATTATGAGAAACTGATATTTGAAGGCAGATTATTCTAACTTCAGGGTTCAAAATGTAACCAGTAAACTATTCGGGACAACTTTGACCACCTCATAGATTTTAGATCTGAAAGAGAGGCACTGATGTGGAAATTTGAAAGTAGGGGCACTGTTTGGGGGGTGCTCTTGGGGAACTTTCTTAAGGGAAGGAAGGAAGCTGAATTGAGAAGATCGAGAGGTTGAAGCCTAATCCATTCACTCCACTGCAAGCTCTGAAGCTGGGATAGTTCTTTAGGATTGTCCCTAATTAAGGTAAAAAGGGTTGGGCCTTTTTACCCTAAATCCAGCATTACTGGATGTGGGCTACACTTCCGTGATCTTGGGTGAGACAGCTTCCTTCAGCCAAAGTCAGTGTCTCAACGTCCTGAGCATAGAATCTCTAGGCTGATGGCTGGGAAAATGATTGTTTCAATTCTGATTCCAGCATTCTGTGCCCACCACAATTCTACTATAAAAATGCTTTTACAAATAATTCTTAATGAAACCTTCCAGCATAAACTCAGTTATCTACCTTAGAATGAGTTAAACAATTAGGTATAAATTAAGTATCCTAATGATAGCTAACTATATTAAAAGTAATTCCTGTTTTACAGTTTTAGGGAAAGTCTATAATATTTTCAAAGCTCCCTTCTCTCCATTTGTTCAATTTATTCAGTTTATATGGTTTAGGCATGTTAATAGCTTCCTCTACCACATCCTCTTAATCTATTATCAACGTATCTTCTTTTTCCTCAAATTCATCTTTGACTTGCCCTCCAGACTACGGAGCTGTCTTTCTATTGCTTTTCTCTGTTTTTATTTTTATTGGAGGTGTGACCTCTGATGTTTTTATTGTCTCACCTCCACTAAACCTTTCGTTCCTTTAAATGTAGTCTTTGTAAGTAGCTGAGAACTTTTTGATTAAAACAGTGCATTTCGTCTGGGCGTGGTGGCTCAAGCCTGTAGTCCCAGCACTTTGGGAGGCCAAGGTGGGTGGATCACGAGGTCAAGAGATCGAGACCATCCTGGTCAACATGGTGAAACCCTGTCTCTACTAAATATACAAAAAATTAGCTGGGCATGGTGGCACGTGCCTGTAATCCCAGCTACTCAAGAGGCTGAGGCAGGAGAATTGCCTGAACCCAGGAGGCGGAGGTTGCGGTGAGCCGAGATCGCGCCATTGCACTCCAGCCTGGGTAACAAGAGCGAAACTCCATTTCTAAAAACAAAACAAAACAAAAAACCAAAAAACAGTGCTTTTGAACAGGTTGCCTAGCTTCCTTTGTAATGCAGACAGTGGTATCTGAAGTGACAGATATGCTGGCATGTGATCCATGAATCATTAGCTGCCACTTTCAAATCTTATTATAGCACGCCTTCAGTTTGGGTTATTATGATCTTCTGAGGCTCTTCTCCAGAGTGTCTGGCATCCTGTGCCAGTAGGCAGCAGTCCCAACCCTCCACAGAGTCAGAAGCTAACATGCACTCCAAGTTTTTGTTTTGTTTGTTCAACTTGTAAATGATACGAAATTTACCCAAAGCAGCCCAGATAAATGGCAGTTAGTCTGATGTCTATCATTTATAAGCATTAGTTTCCTTATTTTTAGAAGTAGAAATATAAAATCTACTCAAAGGAGTATGGTGAGGCTACATGCAAAGATGTAAAAATAACATTGCAGTAACTGTTACTAATGGTTTTCTTTTTATTTTTCTTCCTTTCTTTTTTTTTTTTTTTCGAGAGACTCTCACTCTGTCACCCAACCTGGAGTGCAGTGGCTTGATCTTGACTCACTGCAACCTCTGCCTCCTGGGCTCAAGAGATTCTCCTGCCTCAGCCTCCCAAGTAGCTGGAATTACAGGTGTGCACCACCACAACCAGCTAATTTTTGTATTTTTATTAGAGATGGGGTTTCACCATGTTGGCCAAGCTGGTCTCGAACTTCTGACCTCAAGTGATCTGCCTGCCTCGTCCTCCCAAAGTGCTGGGATTACAGGCATGAGCCGTCACTCCTGGATAGATTTTTAATATATAGTACTACTGTCAAAATTACTGTGGAGCAATACTAGCATCTTAATTGTTCAAACTTTTGAAACTTTCTTCAGAATCTATGCTGTTAACCAAGCATATGCTGCCTTTAGACTGATTGGTCATATTTGTGTATCAATTCACAGTTTTCAAAATATTTTTTAAAGACGTATTTAGCTGCCTCTTGGCACCAAGCCTATAATGTATGCTGATCAGTATTACTGTTCTTAGTTAAAATGAGGAAGGTGGATTCTCTGAAGTTAAATTCAACTGAAGTCTTTTGATTGTGTAATCTTTCCAGAACAATCATGAAGCCTTCCCCAAATATATTAAGATATCAAATTGTTGGTTGTTTAGTCAGAGGAGATAATCTTACAGAAAGTTTCAGTGAGAATGTAAAATACTAAGTTGTTTCTACTACTATAAGAATTACTCTAATTGGCCACTTCATTTTCATTTGTTTTGTTTATACTCAAATATCCTTAGACACCTAATGCATATTGTACTTTTCTAATGAGTAGGAAGATCCTTCTTATTAGAGGTCTTTGAATTTATATTACAGCTAAGTAAAATTTGTTTGAAATTAAAATGATAAATTTTATTTAGAAAAATATTGTGAGGGACTTCGAGAAAATTACCTGAGAGAGTTGTGGTTCATCCATGTGCTTCTTCATGAAGAAGAGAATGTGCTTAAACTCACAGCAACCAGAAATCGTAGACCTAGTTCTGAGAACTAGCAGGATGAGGTCAACAAGAGTAACCATGGTAATATAGATACTCTGCTGCTATAGTTACTTCAGATGCAGCCAGTTTAATCACCTTAATTCTCCCTTATTGGGATGAGTAAAGAAAATGGAGAGGAAAGAAACATGAGGATTTTCACCTCATTTTCCCTCTTAGAAGATTGTATAGTATCTTCTTGGATCTGGAGTACAAAATTAAGCAATCATTTTTAAAAGAAGTCTTGGCTTTGCTACTATCCCTATACTTGCCAAGAAGGCATTTAATACATAGATATATCTTTCATATTTAAATAAAATAATAATAACAGGTTAATAACAACTAGCCTAATATCTTGCAGAAAAGCCGTAAAGGTAACATGATGTAGTATGACTGAAAACAGCCTGAAAGGTTAAAAGTCAAATATCATGCATTATACCGTATCTTATACTAACCTCCTAATTACTCTAATGATGTGAGAAAGGTATATGCGATATGGTATAAAATAGAAAAGAAGACACAAAATCATCTAGATTTTTTCCAAATACAAACAGAAAGCTTACACATGCCCCATTGTGAGTGGCCTGGAAACTTGTATAGGGATAGGATGCGAAGTAAGTGATCTATTAATATAATTCAGAGCTGACAGAGTCTGTGTTTGGTTGGTCAATTTCTAATAAGAGGTATTTGCTGTGGATCAATAGATCACCATGAAACGTTGAAACTAATGGAAGAATTGAAAATTAAAGAATCCAATTCCAGTATTATATTACTAGGAATAATTTGAACAGTCTCTCTTTCCCAGTAATTTTATTGATTCAACTCTAAGGGGTTTGATTTAGGAATGAATTTGGCATTCAGGATCCCCTCAATAAATTTCCCTTCCACTTGGTTAAAGTTATGGTATAAATGAATAAAAAGAGTAATCATAGGTTAGTTAAAAAATCTCATGCTTAAATAGACTAACTTGTTATTGGAATTTTCAACATTTAAAATTTCACATTATGATTGTCAATAGAACACTGTGTAAAATTAATTATAAGAATCAGATTGCAGTGAGCCTCCTTTACTCCATAAAGCTGACAAATTATGACTGATAATTCAGGCACTGGGGGATTTACTTGGCAATGTATATGTTGATTAGCTAATAGCTGTACCTGCTGAGTATACCAGGACATATTTTATCTAATGAGTCTGATGTATACGTCAAGCTGTCTGTTTGAAAAGCTATGACTATTTCCAAATTATATTGCCTTATGCAAAGTCATATTCATATTATGATTTAAGGATGACTTTGAGTATGACTGTTTTCTCTGACACTGAAGAATAATATCAACTTAGCATTAGATAAATATAAAACAATTCATAAATAACCAACAGGATAGACATCCTTCTTTTAAAAATAACTGTACCTCAGTTGTTACAAAGTACCCAGCTAAATCCTTGGCTGTATTTACATATTTGTAAGTGTGGATTAATTCACTTAGATGTGTGGAAATAGTTATACAATAACAAGTTTTCTGTGCAAAAAGAGGAAACTTGCTCATGTCTAGATTGACAAAGTCAAAACAATACCTGGTGCCATCACACAGAATGGAATCTTAGTTATAAAACTACAAAATATAAAGTGAAGTTGCTCTCTTGCCTTTAAAGGCAAGTTTGTTAACTTATATGCAGCTTACAAATATGATCATTCACCACTGAGTACTGCCTTGTACCAGGTGTGGTTTACCTGTGTGTTAAGTTTACTGCTAAATTTGGAACGTTCTTGAAAAAATAGCTAGTACAGTATCGTATCTACATTTCTGCTATCTGACCTTACTTTTCAATTATTCCCTTCCTTCTTCCATGCTATCTGTGTCTATATCCTGGTAAATATTTCTTTGTATTTGAGGTGCTGAAACTTTCAGCTTTCCTGAGTAAGAAATCTTATTTGGGTTTTCTATGCTATATCTATATTATCTTCACAGCATGACTGCTGCTGTTTGAGTTACACTTACTTTATATAAAGGTCATAGGAAATCAGACTTTTAGTAGAAATCTCATAGATTATTTGTTACTTACATATGTCTCCTAGAATGTATTTTTAAAATTGTATTTGAAAAATTTATCTACTACGCAAAAGGATTTCAATGCTTATAGATATATAGGTGGTACTATCATTATCTTGCTTTACAAACCTATATAACTTATATATTAATATATTTGTGTTTCAGTTGCCACTTAAAAAAAATCTACTTGCATTTAAAAAAAATCCCAACAAGCTTTTTTTAACAGCCTACTGAAAACATGTTAAAATGGCTAACATTTTTCAGAAATACTGAAACAGCTACATTGCCTGAAGTATATACACCAGGTTTCATTGTCACATGCAGAGAAAGAATTCAGGGCACAGATACATGTGGGTGGGTTATGGAGAGGGAAGTTTAAGAGAAGAACGAGAGAGGAGGGCAATTCCTTTCCAGAGAGAGACCTCAAAAGCTGGGGAGGCAATGGACCTCAGCAGATTTTATAGGCAGGCTGGAGCAGGTGGTGTCTGATTTACATAGGGCTCACAGATGGGTTCAATCAGTTATGATGTTTACATACCATGGACAATGCTGGTTGCCTCACCCTTATCTTATGCAAATGGACTTTCCAGTTGATCAGGGCCATGTTGTCTGCTCTTCACTGTACACATGGCTGACAAAGAGAAGGAAAGATGGAGCCGCCATCTTGAACGTGTCTAGTCCTTAGTTCCTGCCGGCATTCAATTGTGTAAGCTCCCAGCTTGCTTGCTTGTTTATGTCTCCAGCTCAACTTTGTGGGCTGCTCTGCATTAGAAAATGATTTAAGGCTGCTTTTCATTAAAGAGAAAAGCCTTACTGAGGACTTATTATCTTCCTAAGTGATTTCTTCTTAACTCCTATATCAATATGACTAGATTTTTAAATTTTTTTATTCCTAGAGTGCTTAATCTTTCAATTTGAATTATGATAACAGCTTATACACGTGTTCAAATATGTCATTTTTCCTAATAAAGGCTTGATATTCAATTTCCATGTATATTTGTAAGTTGTTATTTATCTAAATGCATGCCAACATTGTATGTATGTATGTATGTATGTATGTATGTATGTATGCATGTATGTATTTGAGATGGAGTCTCACTCTGTTGCCCAGGCTGGAGTGCAGTGGTGTGTCCTTGGCTCACTGCATCTTCCACCTCCGAGGTTCAAGTGATTCTTCTGCCTCAGCCTCCTGAGTAGCTGGGATTACAGGCACATGCCACCATGCCCAGATAATTTTTCTGTTTTTAGTAGAGACAGGGTTTCACCATATTGGCCAGGCTGGTCTCAAACTCCTGACCTCGTGAATGCCCACCTCAGCCTCTGAAAGTGCTGGGATTACAGTTGTGAACCACCGCATCCGGCCTTTTATGTATTTAGAACTGGAAGATTCTATAGTTTCTAAATTTCTGAACTGTCTTCAGGAAAGAGGGTAGAAAAAGCAATAAGAGATATGAAAAAGCTTTGGCTGAAAAAAAATATTTCTACTGGGGTAAGAAACATAAAAAATTAGGTGTAGCAAACATGTGTCATGCTCAATGCCAAATGGTGCCTCCCTCCCAGTCCACCTTTTGCTTGCAACAGTTTTACTGTGTTGGTGGTCTAATAAAAATGATCTGGGGGGATATTGGGCTGGCTCGGAGCAAATTCTTCTCCAAGGTGAGGCCTTCTGAAGTGCCTGCATAACAGTCTTTCCCACAGTAGCTCCCCAGTGTGCTGAAAGGATTTTAATATGTTTTCCAAAAGTATACAAAGAAATACATTGTATTTATGGAGCATCTGTTTTCTTCTGGATTTACCTATTTGTCTGATAAGATTTTTGAAATAGCATTTTGAGGAATATTTTATAATTATTTTAAGTGCATTTGTTATTTTGTGTTTCTCCATTTAGACCTTGAATTACTGTCCTCATAGGTGTTATTTGTAGACTCTATGGACTGTGACTAAAAGAATACTCTTGATATACCTTTTTTATGTGCATATTTTGTCACTGTATGTTGCGTGTTTCCAAACAAATTTTGCCAAACAGTATTTCTTTGTGGGCCATGAAACTGCAGTGATAGAGAACATTCCCCTAACAGAGCATAAGAGCTTTCAATTGTAACCAGGAGCATGGATAGAGGATAATTGGAAAAAGCTACAGTTGTCAAAATGACAAAAAGGAGTAAAGTTGAGGGATGTAGATACAAAAATGGGAGTTAAGATATGACACTGATATCTTCTTATTATACTTTGTTTATGATATTAGCTAATTCACATTACTCATATACTTTACATATATATGCATATATATTTATATATAATGTTTGTGCATAACTATATATATTTTATGTATAGATAGATGTAGGTTACATAGTTTCTCTAAGTACATTTTACCCTTTAGAAGTGCTTATTTCTGGATAATCATATCTTTTAAAAAAGGATATAATAGAGATCTCATATATATATATATATATGTATGTATTTTTATCAATTCACTATTAAAAATGTGAAGTTTGTATGTTCTAAGCTATTTTTTAATCCAGCTACAAACTTGGTTATTCTTCTCTGGTAACATTTCTGAAAATTATATGTCCCAGGGATTTCTCTGACAAATAGTTTTGGTTTTATCATTTTAATGACCAGAGAGCTACATAGATGTTTCTGTTAAGCAACCTGATTTGGAAAACCTTTGACTAAAGAAATATGTGTTGCCTTTCTTGCCCGGTGCCATTTTCCTACATTGATTTGTGACTGGTAATTTTCCAAAACCTGTTTGTTTATACATTTTTAAATGAACACCATCTTATCATTTATTAAATATATCCCACATATAATTTAAAATAGCAGTTTCATAAAATGGATTTTTCTAAGGTTTATGACAA